AAAAATTTAAATAACCACACCTATTCATTATTATACCGTGCGCTTTACCTTAAAATTAAACATGCGAAGGGGCTGTGCTGTATTTCACAATTGGTCTAACTAGTCCTACACTGAATGTCCGATAATTGAAATGCGTTTTGACTGTGGTCATCCAACGTTTAGCAGCCGTGGAGGTTGTGATTGTTGAATCCAAAAAGCGCGCGAGGTTGCTGTTAATTACGCTGAGAATTAAACTTAATTTTTGCCCAACAATCTTGTAGTTGTTACTGCCGATTTAGTGTGAGCGAAAAATGGACAGGGCCTATCAAAAGTCACCACAAAATGACGCCTAGTCAGAAAAGTGAGTTTATTTAAATGTCGAACACTTGTGCCAGGATTATGTAGAAAAAAAGAAGCAAAAATAATTGAAACAAATTAACAACCTATCGCATGTGGGTATACTGCATTCACGTTTGACAGGGGGGCAGATTGAGGTTATTTACATAGTTGTTCCACTCGGCACCTTTTATGAAAGAGCAAGTCTGTGCTTGCTCTCATCAGAACAACTCTGACGCAAGAATTTTGTGTGTGTGGCTGAAGTGGATCTCCGCGCTACGGCAGCCCCTACTGAGAACACATCCTACAGAGGCAAGTTGTGCTCCGGTTGTAGCATCTCAAGGGAACCCTCTGATGACGTTGGTTCTCTGGAGTTGGCAGCCTTTGGCAAGATAGTTGATTGAGAAGACACCTACTTTGCGGCACCGCTCCCGATTTTTAATAAGTCAACTGGCAGCTTCACTCTATCTGCAATATGAACTGTTCCATAAGTTAATGTTTCTTTTCTCTCTTTTGCACAGTAGATACTCCATTTGTACCAATTTTAAAAAGGTCAACATCCAAAAAGACAAGGAGATTTAAGAACTGATAACCTGATTTATTTAACATTAATAGGATTCAGTTTGAATGTACTGTAAGAAGAAATCCTGTTCACACACCAGAGAGCACAATGTGTTTATACTGAAATCACATGGCATGTACCAGATGAGTGTAAAATACAAAAGCATCCTTTCATCCTTAGGTACGATAAAAAGTGAAAATGCAGTCTTTCAGGAGGCACGTATACCTGCTGATGAGTCAATCTTTAAAACGTACACATTTCCCTGAAACAAGTACAATGTACAGTGTACAGTAGTTCAATTTAAAGTGCAATCTGTGCTTTTAGATTCTAAACTTAAATAAATACATCTGTTAAAATAAGAAATATATACAGTTTCATAAATTATAGAACAAATATCTTGAAGTTAATACTAAAAGAGCCATATTACAACATTTAGAATAAAGCTATACAGTGTATGTGGAACCATCACTCATACATACAGTATACTAAATATACAACAAAATATTTTTAAAATGTGAGGACCAGCTGTGGATTTTTGAATCAAGCTAAATGCGTTGTACAACAGCAGAATACATTTTGGGCCTGCAGGCAGGGAGAATTGTTGTATACGGTGTATGTTGATTCTGTATTAATAAAAAAAAAATTCTGAAAGTGTAAGAAACAACTCAAAAACATACTGTAGTAAACAGATACATAACTGAGGTAACACCAGGAGTGCAATGTGAATTCAGATGTTTCTGGTCTTTGAACCTGCAATTTTAAATGACTGAATGAACACATTCTACTGCATTTGTTGAGAGCTGTAGAAGAATACGAATGTACAACAATCCTCAAAATACTCAAGTGACTGAGTGAAATTCTTTGGAAATCCACAATACACCAAGTCAAGCCCTTTTGCACAATGTAAGAAACTTGATCCCTTATGAACAATCCTGTTTTACCTTATATTTTGGATATTTCTGAGATATTTTACATTCTTTGTAGTGCAAGGTTTTCAACTTCTGTGTAATCTTACAGAGCTGTCAGTTGTGCCAGTTTGCCCATGGACTCCGGATCATAAAGCACTTGTGAAGTATTCCTACCACTGCCAGTAAAATGGTATTCTTGGCCACTTGCTTTGTACAATCTCTAAATGATCTGTATACAGTACATGCACTTTTAATTTTGCTGTGTGCAACGGTTATAGTTTTGGAAACAAAACAGATTATAAAACTCATAAAAATAGTTTAAGGCACACTGCAACTTCTGAAAAGCACTGAAAAGTGTAATCTCTCCACGTAATCACAGCATAGTACAAGTGGAGGAGCGGGACCTTCCGTCACTGAGACTCTGTGCTTTCCGTGGGTCTCTCTGTGGGGACTGTGTGGGGATGGCGTTGGTGTTACTGCTGTCCTTCGGGTCTCTGCTCTCCTCGTTGGCCGGGAAAACCTTCTGATCTTCGGAACGATTCTTTTCCTGGACAGGTCTTGCATCATTCTTTTTCTCTGGTTTCTTGATCTCTGTGGTGGATAACCGCTTGAAAAAAGAAATCTATGCGACAGAAGCAAAAAGAGCTAAATTACACTTTCCATCCATTTGTAGTATGAAACAATTGCTTATTACAACAACATCACCTCTATCTTGGAGTCTGCATTGCTTTTATCTTCTGTATTATATAACGACTGCCACACAGAAACTGAAACATTTTAAAAGAATACAGTAGGAATTACCTTTTTCAAAAATAATACAGTAACCGTCTCCTGAGTGAGTCTTCATGAAGTGCAAATTACAGATGCACAATTTTAAATGAATCCAGTACCATCATAATCTCGGAGAGAAAATGATAAATATTTTGAAGCCATCAACTTTTAATTACTGCACCTTGCCATTTGTCCCAAAAAGGCCTTTTGACTTCACATCCTCTTTTCCTTCATGGATCTGAGGTTGCTTGTGCATGAGATTTTCTTCCATTTTAGAAGCTAAAACAACAAAAACACAAGAACCCCCATGGTATTTTAAAACCTACAGATTTATTTTTTAAGAATCTTTACATTAAAGGATTATCAAGTTAAAAAAATGCAAACTTTATTTCAAAACATCACACGTTTCTTCCATTCTGTTAAAATTAACCTTGTGTTTTCTGTGAATAATGTAAGTCTGTCTTAGAAATATGTTCTGAGAGATCCTATTATTAATAATTCAGATACAAAATGAAGCTCTTATGTTTTATACGGATCATTTCTAATCATGTAAAATAAACATTTGCTGAAAATGTCCATTATTACCTAATTATGCATTTTCTCCATAATGCATCAGTACCTATATTAATATAACCTATATTCTTATAACCATTACAAGTTGTGTTTTTTTTAACAAAGCAGCTTCATATTTTTCAGCAATGCACTTGCCTGGCTCATGAAGATCCTGCAAATTTCTTACTAAGAAGAAAATGTATGAATGATCCAGTGTGCTGTTTTCACAATGAAAGGGCTTTTATAAGCACTCAACTAGAAACATCACTGACACAAAGGTCAGTGTTAAATGCAAGGTATGTTTACCTTGCTGTATGCATACATTCCTTCATACCGTCTACAGTCTATGAAGTGGCGCAGTAATTAAATGCTTTACATTCCATCCTCAATGAAAGACTTGCTTTTATGTCAGATTCAGGATCACTCTCTGACAGCAGTGTCTTTATACTACTTATACAACTGTTAATGTTCACCTGTAGAAAGGGAAAACTGGTTCTCAATGCAACAAATACAGTAAGTACTCTGACCAAACAAATGATAAATCGCCTAAAAGAATGCTTCAAAAAACAATGCGGTTTTCTATACACTGTACACTGGTGTGCAGACGTTAAGGAACAAACCATTTTGGTTTTAAAAAACAGTGTAGGTGAATAATACAACAAATGATTTACTGCTCAAGGGTAATCCACAAATGTTGAATCTCACTTGAAAATATACGGATAAATTCTGTCTGCAAATGCAAATTCTGCATCCTATAAAAAAGCTTTTAAACTCCACTCTCCTTTGGGATGCGGTTTGCTCTCAGATTGCTCTGTGGAGATTCACTGCAAGGAATGCGAAGAAGGAGCTGTGTGGATAATCTGCGATGGAATGTAAAAGGGGCAAACACTGGCTGGAGTTTTTAGAAGGCGAAATGTTTCAAGAAGCAAGGTTCTGGAGGCAAAAGATGCTACCTACCAGCTGTGTCTAAGTACCACGACATCTAGAGCTATACCTGGGAGGTTTTACAGAGAAAGAGGTCCAGTTATCAACCAGCACCAAGAATTCCTCAAGAGCTCAGCAGTGTTCGTGTACTAGAGTGTAATTTGGGGCCTTACAGCCTGATAGGGAACCTCATATACAGCATGAGAAAATTCTGTGAACGTTATACTGCTGGAAAGGAAAGGGTAAGGGACCACGCATTTTTGGGGGGGATTATTTTATGGTCATAACCATAAAAAAGTTCAGTAATTGTCCTTTTATAGGTGCAATCTTACAGTAGATTGTTACAAGAGAAATGTGTTTCACTCAGCTTCAGGATGTCATCAGTCAAAGGGAAAAGTATGACCCCTTGCCACCGTATATACAGTATGTGTTCCTACCCTAGTTAATTGGTTTTAACACTGCAATCAAAGTAAATGAATTGTGTTAATCACAGTTTGCAACCAAATGCTTTAAGTCCACCCCCGTCACAATCTAGAACTCCTTGTTCAAGAAATTGTTGAATTAAATTATGAAAAGAATCATGAGAAGGGTCTACAGGAATTACTAACAG